GGTTAAAGTTAGTGTTAGATTTAGGGTTTAGAAATTGAGAATGTATAGTAAAATTAGTCAAGGAAAATTTTTTATTAAAACATAAAGGGTGGTTTTTTATGTGAATTCTTGAGATAAGTTGTTTTTTTGTCAAAATGAACATTTGTTTTGAATTTTCCTGATCATGTTACGTTGTACTAAATTTCGATTTTCCATTAGCTAAATTTGTGCTGATCATTATGTAATCTGAAAAACTCATGATCGCCCTGGTGGATTCTTCCTAATAATGAGGAATGTGAGGGTCGTGTTACGAATTCTTTTACATCTTGAGGAAAATTAATTACATTTTCACGGTATGCATATTGACCCTTCGCAAATAATATACTGATACAACAAGAAAAATTTGCGCTATTAGCATTTATTCGATTTCTGTGAGACATTTTAGCTCTTCTGGCACATCACCAGGATCCATATTATTTTTGGCTGAAAACTTCTTTATTTCATCTTTTTCATTATAGCAACGTGACATTCTCCCTTAAAAAGTGTTATTGACAGGAACTGTTCTTTGCAAGTAGGGCAAAAGCGATGTGCACAATTATTTATAACTGTACGAAACTTGTTAGAACTTTCGATCATCATTGGAGAGCTGTTGAACACTTAGAGTGGTTTCAGAAATTGATTCAGTTTCAGGTGCAATAGTAGTGATTTGCTGTTCATGCAGCTCTAACACATGTCTTTTTTTTCACATATGTTCGCGTGCTTTTGCTAAACATTTGCTTCGTTCTTTAGCTGTTTCTAGCCTTTTTTTTTCACGATGTCTTAGACTGTCACGCTCACGATATGTGACTTGTTCATTAGAAGTAGTGTTTTCTTTGCCTTTACGTTTTAGCATTTAACTAATCATTTCAATTTTTAAAGGGCCTAGTGAGTAGTGTAATACTAAATGTGGATAAGAATGAGTTGAATATACTAAGAATCACACAACAGAACTACAATTTATGTGATTTTTTAGGGAATGTATCTGCTAGCCAGAGGTACCAAACAATACAAATTTTTTTATCTGAATAAGGTTCTAGAATTTAAGCAACTTTTTTATGGCTTGTACTCTGTGAAATCAAAAAACAACTCGGGTACCAACAATACAGCGCCTTTGATCTAAACAATATTAAAAATTAAGTGCAAATATTCTGTATAAAAAAAAAATTTTTTTATAATAAATGTTAATTTAATTTTTTATACATTTGCAAAGCCAAATGTTAATTTTGTGCAAACAATACATGCACGACAAATTTTTAACATTTTAAGAATTTATAATTTAAAAATTAAGTATCGTCTAATTATGGCTTGGCTAGTCCATCACCAAAGCACTAACTCTTAATGAACTAATGTCTCGAAACCGATTGAAAATCAAGCAAACGTTATACATAAAATCTCGAAAAACTAAAGCCTACACTATAAAAAAAAAACAATTATTATTTATATGGCATTGATTAATAGAACAGGATTTGCAGTATAGTACAATTTTATTTATGAAATCAATTAAAATACATGCAAATGTTAATTTTCAATAAAATTTATTGTCAAAATCAAACATTAATCAGCATACGCTTAGAAAATCTAATTATTTAATAACATTAGATTTTTAAATTATTTCAACTTTCAATAAATTTGTATAAGCTGTTGGCAACAATACTGAATTAATGCTTAATCGCTAGCAAAGAAAAGAGTGGATTTAAATATATATCGATTGTTAAACTATACACCATTTAAAATAATTGTTACCTACTTAAATATTCCATTTAATGCATTTAATAGGTGTAGTATATTGTGTAACAGATTGATTTCTGTTAAGTGTTAGTACACGAACTGTAGATCGTCACAGGAACCAGCAATTCTCGAATTTTATTGGTAGTTTCCGACTAACATTGCATGATTGTGCATGTGATTTTACTCATACAGTTAAGTCCTCACTATTCTTTGGACAATTATTAATCACACCAAAAATGATAATTTCAACAATACAAGTAAGGTATAAATTCTCTTTAAGATCCTTTAGGCATGACATTATTTTTTTTTCTGATAAAGCCTAAATAAAATACTACAGTTTTCCTCCTCTATAATCACCTCCTATATAATCATAACTCCTATACAATCACATTAACTTTTGAGCCAATTTATTAAAAAACTTATAAAAAAAAACTTCTATATAATCACACTCTTTTATAATCACCAATTTTCTTGATACAAACTGTGTGATTATATAGTAGGAAGACTGTATTAAAAAATAAAAAATAAAAAAAAAGGTGATTAGCGTTAGGGTATTAAGCCTAACTAATAAGACCAATTAACTCTGTGACCTAATATAACAGATTATCCTAAGGCTTGCCCTACACCTTAGTAGTAACCTTTCATGTCCCACACTTTCTAATGCTTCGTAACATTTCAGAAAAATTTCACGATTCGTAGGAATAGATCAGAAATATATAGAAACCTAATACCTTTGATTATTTCAAACGATTCATAGAAATACACCATCAGTGTTAGGTAAGCAGCAAAAAACATGGGACATAACAATGGAGCAGTTATATTAGGAACGAGAAGTACAGACACAGTGTAGTAACTTGACCAACCAAAACTTTTTCTAACATATTCGAGGCAGAAACTTAACCGACCCCTCCTTTAGGATCAGTAGTCCTCAAATTATGCTGAAAGAAGAGTTGTAACTTCAAGTTGCCAGCACCTTGAAGCGGCACATTAATCGACACTTACTTAAAATCTTCTTATATTTCTCTGTATCGACGTATGTTAGATTTTGTCAGGGGTAAAAAAAAATATTTATTTTTAAAAAAAATTAATGTAATCAAATATGTATTATAATTTCGATTAAATTCGATTTAATTCCATTTAGTATTGCTGTATTGTCACAAAATTCGATTTGTCATCATGATGGTTAAACATTATCATTAACCAATCAGAAAATTTGATCAAAAAATTGATTTCAAATTTGCAGATCATTTGGCCTGACGGGAATGAGTTTAAAACTCATCCCTGCTAGGCCAAATGATCTGCAAATTTGACCGGAATTAAACCAAGTGTTGGGTTTTACT